TACGGTAGGGCGTGCAACCCTACCGCCAGGGTCCATGGCGGCAGGCAGCCTACCGCCAAGGCCTTTGGCGGTAAGAAAAGGGTCATATCCCGAAATTTTTACGAACTAGGGTCAGATCTTGAACAAGTTTTAGAAAAGGGTCAAAACACGAAATTTAGCCGCGAGAGAGGTGGGGGATCGAGCGTGGGGCTCTCCCTGGTGGCGCTCGAATGGGAGGATCGAGAGGGAGGAGGTTGGTTGCGAGCTAGGGTTAAGGAGCTGGTGGGGGAGAGGTGGGCCTAGCAGGCCGGCCTGTGGCCTAAGGCCCAGGGGATGAGGGGGGGGGGATTGATCTTTTTCTTTATATATATATTGTTTCTTTTAATTTCTATTTTCTTTTAAAATTAAAAAACATGATTTTATAAAATAAGGAACTTGGCCCACTATTAATAGAGTAAAATTTGGCACTGCCACAAAGTGTTGGGGATTTATTTAAAACATTTTGCATTTTCATTATTTAGAAAAGGCATTTTAAATAATTGTTTTAGCCCCTATTTTAATTATTTTAGGGCATTTAAACACCTTATAAAATGTTGTTTTCTCCACCATAATCCTCTATGGATTATGTGCAACATTACGAACATTTTAGTTTTGCAGTTTGAGGAAATATTATTTTGAATTTATTATAAATTTTGAATTTGAACTTGGTTTGGAACAAAGTGTAGCAATTTTCTTGCGATGACATGGCACCATTAGTGTGCGATTACTGTAGCTTAACTACCGGGGTGTTACAGGAGACAAGTGGAAAGGTGTTCACTATTGTACTAGGTTTTCTGCATGTGAGCCTCCTATCATGTGATGGGTACTGGGTTCATATCCTCCTTCCTTGATTGCTCTGCACCGGGCCCATCCGAATAAACCTTGTGGTAGTCCAAAAGTCATCGCGGTATACGTTAGTAGGGGAAAATCTGAATGGGGGTTCCTTCAACATACTTGTACAACCCTTCAGTTAGTCGAGGGTAGATGTTCAACACCTACACGCGGCCTGGTGAAGAAAAGCGATGTTTCTTGTTTGGAAGGTGGTCATATGTTCTCCTATAACTCAAAGGTTGTGATATTCTGAGCAAGTTCGGTCCTCCCGACATATGCTAGGTGGGATGAAACTAACCACCGCGGGTCACCAGTTTGGTGCGCAAGTTGTTCATATCGTACGAATGACAGGTCCGTTGGTGCAATTGACCCACTAGCGATAAGGAATCACTACTTATGGTTATGGACCCAATTTTTGGCCCTAGACCTTTACCTTTTTCTCTTAATAGGGTGTATGTTACAAACATCATCAAAGGCTTTTCAGCTCACTGGTTAATAATGTCTTTCTTTGGCCTGTTGGATAGGAGCAACAAAGACTTGTGCCCACTCAATTCATTTGCGCGGCTTGATGATCGAGTTCAGTGGGATGATGTGTGTCGCGCATGAAGCATTCCAAAGCGAACCATTATGTCGTGTGGAAACCATTTGCACGCATAAAATATGCCGTGCTCTTGAGATACAAGGTGCCAACGGTCGAATGCGCGTAAATTTAAAAGGTTTAAATGGACACCAAATTTACAAAGTTATAAACGGAAGGTTTAAATGGGTGCCAAAATTACATATGGGCACAACTAAGGCAGTAAATCTTATGCAATATTCTTCCAATCTGTCACCATATCATGGAATTAATCCTTGGGCGATTCATCCACTATAAATACACTTGGGGATGGAGACCCTCCATCTTGGCAAAGAGCCAAGCCTCGCCCAAGGAGATGTCCAACGCTTCGAAGTCGCCTCTGTCGATTACGAGGAGGACCATCTCAGATTGTCTCATAGGCCGTCAACCGCAGAATGTGAGGACGAACTAATTCACTATTAATAGTGAGTACTAGTGCCAGCAGAAACATATTCAACCCTAAATATATGGAACAACATTCAATTCACATATAAGGAAATTTTGGCACAACTTTAGACATACAATGTGCTTGATCTGGAACGAGTCGTTGCAACATGTGTTGCTTCCCGGTAGCACACTACTCCAACTTGAACCACCATTGAGTTCTCCACGGGTGGAGGAGGGAGGATTGAAGGGGTGCGACACTCGAGTGGATTATGGACTCAAAGACTCCTGGATCCGAGAGGTGAGTCCCCCACATTTGAGAGAGGGGTTGAGGGGCTTCGTGATAGAGAAGCTGAGGGGATCTAGTGGAGGAGGCCAAGGGGGCTTCG